TCTTCTATATAACGACAACAAATTTTATTCCCCCTCTTTCCTCGACTCCACTACCAACCCACGCGCGCGTGTGTTGTCTCTCGAAAACAAGCAAACAACAACTAAATCGTGCAGTCGTAGCTCGGCTGATCGCTCGTGGCGTTCAGCGCGAACCTGCCGATCTTCACCTCCATCCTGTGGGCCTCCTCCAGGTCGAAGCTGTCCCTGTCGAAGACGATCATCTCGTACTTGCCCTCCATCGTGCCGTAGCTCGTCTGCAGCGGGCACGCCGAGGTGTACTCGAACGACTCGCCGGGCCTCAGGATGGGCTGCTCCCCCACCACGCCGGGCCCCTTGACCTCGTCCACCCTCCCCTGGGCGTTCGTGATGACCCAGTGCCTGTTCCTCACCTGGACCGTCTTGTCGCTCTCGTTCGAGATCTGGACCTTGTACGTGAAGAAGAACTGCCCGAGGTGCGGCGAGGAGCGGCTGGGGACGTAGTAGGACGACACCCTGACGCGGACCCCGTGGGTCACGCAGTCGCTCTTGCTCTTCGGGGTCGGGCACAGCTCCTCCAGCTGGTCCCTCAGGCTCGCCGCCTCCTCGTACCTCTCCTCGGCCACCGCCGCCCTCAGCTCCTTCTCCAGCTGGAGCACCGGGTCATCCCGGTCCAGGCTCAGCAGCTCGTCCCGCAGGCTCGCGGCCAGGGAGTAGTCCTCCCTCTCCACCGCCCCCTTCATCTCCAGCTTGAGCCTCCTCCTCTCCTTCTCCATCTCCGTCCTCTCCTCCATCACCCTCAGCACCGTGCTCTCCCCCCCCCTGTCCGTGGTCCTCGCCCGCGGCCTCCTCGGCGCCCTCCTCCTCAGGCTCCTCAGGCTCCTCAGGCTCCTCAGGCTCCTCATCCTCATTCCCTCGTCCCCCGTCGAGCTCGACGTCGCGGCGTTCCTCCCCATCCTCGCCCCTCCCTGCCTGGCCAAGTTCAAGTTCAAGTTCACCCTCTCCATCCCTCCCGTCCCGTCCCGTGTCTGTGTCCGTGTCTGTGTCTGTGTCCCTCTCTCGTTGTCGTTGTTCCTCTCGTGCTCTCGTTGTTCCTCCAGGGCCCGCTGGGTTTTGTGCTTTTGGGCCCTCTCGTCCGCAAAACCACGAATCACGATAAGGCTGAGGGAGAGTTAAAAGCCACACATTAAAAATCGCACGTGCTTCTCGGAAAGCTTTGAATTTTCCCCCAGGGAAATCCAAATCCCTGGGAGGAAAAGAAAAAAGAAAAAGAAAAAGAAAAAGAAAAAGAAAAGCGGAAAAGCGGGAGCGAGGCCAGGACGGGCGAGGGAAGAGCGACGAGGAAGAGCGACGAGGAAGAGAAAACAATCTAAGAAATCAGAAGACCTTAGGGAGGGAGGAGAACATTCTTCTCCTTCTTCGTAGGCGAGGCTTATTCGCATCCATCTTGCTCCCTCTTGCTCCCTCTGACTCTGCTCCCTCTCTGGGTGGGGGAGTGGGGGGGGGGTTCCAGAGCTCTGGGTTCCCTCTGGGTTCGTCGTGCGATGGGGTACGATGGTGCGGGTGCGGGGACTTCGTCGTCGTCGTCGTCTTCGCCGTCGCCGTCCTGGTCTTCTTCTCTCGGGAGGTCGGCGTCGTCGTCCCTGGTGTCGTTCGCCTTCGTGTTCAACCTACTGATTGGGGCGGGGGCCCTGGCGATACCGAGGCCCTTCGCGCAGACGGGGTTCGTGCTGGCGGCGCCCTTCCTCGGGTTCCTGTGCTTCTTCTCGCTCCTGACGTCCATGTACATGGTGGAGGTCCTCGTGGCGGTCAGACTGATGTCGCCGTCCTCCACCTCCGACGATGACGGCCACCACCACCACCGGGACAAGGACAAGGCGTCGAGGTCGGCGTCCGCGGAGGAGGACCACCTGGACCAGGAGGGAATAAGCTTGAGCGCCCCGGTGGAGGAGAACGGGGCGGGAGCGAGCCGGGCGGGGGTGATCACCTCGAACGTGCACAGGTCCGCAGCGTCGGCGTCGGCGGCCCTGCTGGGGCCGGAGCGCGTGCCGCTGCTGGAGGGGGAGTCCTCCCTCGAGAGCCTGGCGGGGGGCGCCCAGGAGGGCCCCAAGAACCTCGAGATGGGCGCCCTGGCCAAGAAGCTCTTCACGCCCCTCGGGTCCAAGCTGACTTACGTCGTGCTCTGCCTCTACCTCTTCGGCGACCTCTCGATATACGCGGTGACGATCCCAAAGTCCCTCACCGCGCTGGTCTGCCCGCACCAGGGGACCGCGAGGGCCGAGCTCGCGGGGGGCATGTCGGACTGGCCCTGCAAGAACTTTCAGGGCAGCCTGCCGAAGGAGCACTTCCTGCACGACCTGAACTCCAAGACGGTATACAGGTCCTTCGTCCTCCTCCTCGGCGCGGTGCAGCTGCCCTTCATGTTCCAGACCGTGCAGAAGACCTTGTTCATCCAGGTCCTCTCCATAACCTACAGGTGGTCGGCCTTCTTCATCATGGTGATCATCTGCCTCGTCCAGATGCTGGGCCCGGAGGGGGAGGGCAACGACTGGAAGCACTTCACGGGCCAGAGGGACTACGGGGGGCTCATGCAGCTGTTCGGGGTGACCATCTACTCCTTCATGTGCCACCACTCCCTCCCCTCGCTGCTCAACCCGGTCATGTCGGCGATCCCCAAGGAGAGGCTCGAGATGAGGCGGATCGCAAAGCCCGTGGCCTGGGCCCTGGTCTGCTGCCTGTTCGTGTACCTCATGCTGAACACGATCGTGGCGCTCAGGTACAAGCCCGGGGAGATCGAGGACGTGATCACCCTGAACTTCCAGAACTTCAAGCCGCACAGGGTCTCGGTGTTCCTGGAGCTCTTCCCGGTGTGCACCCTGGGGGCCAGCTTTCCGATCATCGCCTGCACGCTGAGGAACAACCTCCAGACGCTGATCCTGATGAGCAACACGGAGAGGCCCAGGCCGAGGTGGCTGAGAATCGTGGAGAAGGTCGTCCTGCCCGTCGTGGTTCTCCTGCTGCCCCTCATGGTCGCCTTCGCGACGGAGAACGTGGAGATGCTCGTGGGCCTCACGGGGTCCTACGGGGGGTGCGCCATCGAGTTCATCATCCCGACCCTGCTCGTGGTGGCGGCGAGAAAGAGGGTCGCGGCGAACACCCAGTCCACCGGGGGGCTCCTGCTCTCCAAGCTGGACTTGGGGATCCTGTCCTCGAACTTCTTCGTCAACGCCGTCTTGATGTGGTCCGTGGCGTGCATCGTCCTCGTGACCGTGAACCATCTGAGATAGCAAGGTCCACAAATATCGTATTTATTACAAAGTTTTTTTTTTTTCCTGTGCGCGGAGGGGCTCCTGAGAATAGCCAACTCTGGGTCACCTCAACTCAACCTTGAGCTCGTCCTCCAGTGCGCTGCGAAGATTGTAGAAAAAGAAAAGAGGTCAGCGATGTGCTGCTGCTGCTGCCGTGTATAAAGCGCGTTCGCCTGTGTAAAAAGAAAAAAAAAAGACTCACCTCCTGACTTTGTCCTGGACGCTGTTGATCTCCTCGTCCGTCAGAGACCTCTCCATGGACCTGTAAACTATTCTATAACAGTGGCTCGTCTTCCCCGTCTTCGGGTTGGCGAACTCGTCGATCAGTTTGACTTCCTCCACGATGTCTCCGGCAATCCCCCTGACCGTCTCGCACAAGTTGTTCTCCGTGAAGTCCTCCGAGATCCAAAAGGCCACGTCCTTGTTGCACGGAGGGAACTTGGAGAAGGACTTGAACTTGGAGGAGAGGTCCCCAGCCTTGAACTGCTTGAGGAACCTCTCGTCCTCGCTCCAGAAGAGCCTGATGTCGGGAATGTCGAAGAGGATCATGGCGAGCCTCTCGATCCCCAGGCCGAAAGCCCAGGCCCTCTTGCCCTCGCCGTAATTCCCGTCGAGGATCTGCTGCTGCATGACTCCGCAGCCCAGGACCTCGAGCCACTCGTCGTTGAAGAAGATCTCCAGCTCTATGGAGGGGTCCGTGAACGGGAAGTAGGCGTCCACCCACCTGCACTCGACGTCGCCGAACAGGTGCTTGGCGAGGCCCTCGAGCGTTCGCTTCAGGTCCTCCCTCACGTACTCCACCTCGCCCAGCCCGCTGCCCTCCCAGTCGCTCGGCTCGAAGATCTTCACGCCTTCCATCTGGTGGAACACCGGGTAGTGGGTGGCGTCGATCGTGTCCCTCCTGTACACGTCCCCGATCACCAAGAAGTTCTTGTGCTTCTCCCTCAGAAGCTCGGCCTGGTGGGCCGAGGTGTGGCAGCGGAGCACGGTCTCGCCGTCCACGTAGTACGTGTCGTTGTCGCTGCGGCTGACGTGGTCCGCGGGGATGAGCAGCTCGTCGAAGTTCTGCGCGGTCGTCACCACGGGGTAGAGGTCCTCGAAAAGCTTGAACTTCCCAGGGTCGCTCTGCTCAAAGTACTCGAAGATCGCCTCCTTGATGATCCCAAGCGGGTGGTCCTTCCTCTGGTGAAGGTTCGTCCCAAGCTTGTCGAATATCGTGTCCGTCACGTTGTTCTGCGGGCTGCCCGTGATGATGTCCGACCTCGCGATGCTCTGGCTCGTCCGCTGCTTGGTCGCCAGGCCCCTCGCCACGGTCAGCCCGGGAAGCCTCGCCCCGAACAAGTCGCCCCCGAACAGGCTCGCACCCCTCCACCTCGAAGCCAACCCAGGCCCCGGCCTCTCCAGCAGGGCGCCACCGCCCAAACGCCTCCTCCCCTGGACCTGGACCTCGCGACCGAGGCACCTCAGCGACGGCCTCGCCGCCCTGTGCGCCTGGAGGTGCGCCTGGCACCTCACCGCGTGGCTCATCGTCGACCACGAAACAACCAACACGAAACAACCTAAACCCTGAGAAGCTCTCCCGGCCTCCTCGTCCTCGTCGCCCTCTCCCTCTTGGCGCTCTGGCCGGCGCACTCTCTCCGCCACAAACCGGAGATAAGGGAAGGGGCGGGGAGAGAAAGGGTATATATACGCGAAATTCGCACTTTCCTCTATCATACGTTCATACCTACGTGAAAATACCCGATCCCATCAGAACTCGGAAGTCAAGCGCGTGTGGGCGAGATCAGTACTGTGGTTGGTGACAACACGGGAATCTCTCGTGGCGTATGTTCTTTTTTTTTTTTATCCCCAGAGCCCGGATCGACTCTCGCGCCCCGCAATCCATCTCCTCAGAGCTCGCGAAGAAACCCACCCAGCCAAGGCCAAAGCCAAAGAGAGATGATGATTCCTTTATTACATCAGACGTCATCAGTGTAGTCGTCGTCCTCGTCCTCCTCCAACTCCTGAAGCCACTGCAAGATGTGAAAGTGACCTCCTTCATCTGCCGTGTCATAAATCTCCTCAGGGTCCCAAGGGCAAGGCGGGTCCTGGCTTCGGAGCCACATGAGAATATCAAGCCAACCTCCTCGAGCTGCCCATTTACAAGTCCACAAGTCCCAATCACAAGGTGGGTCCTGGCTTCGAGCCCACTGCAGAACAGCAAGGTGACCTCCTTCAGCTGCATATTCACAAGTCCTCCAGTCCCAAGGGCAAGGTGGATCCTGGCTTCGAGCCCACTTCAGAACATCAAGGTGACCTCCTCCAGCTGCCTCATAACAAGTCCTCGAGTCCCAATCACAAGGTGGGTCCTGGCTTCGGAGCCACTGCAGAACGTCAAGGTGACCTCCTCGAGCTGCCCATTTACAAGTCGCCCAGCCCCAATCACAAGGCGGGTCCTGGCTTCGAGCCCACTGCAGAACGTCAAGGTGACCTCCTCGAGCTGCATTAGAACAAGTCTCCTTGTCCCAAAGGCAAGGCGGGTCCTGGCTTCGAGCCCACTGCAGAACATCAAGGTGACCTCCTCGAGCTGCATTAGAACAAGTCTCCTTGTTCCAAGGGCAAGGCGGATTCTGGCTTCGAGCCCACTGCAGAATATCAAGGTGACCTCCTCGAGCTGCCTCAGAACAAGTCCTCTCGTTCCAATCACAAGGCGGGTCCTGGCTTCGAGCCCACTGCAGAACATCAAGGTGACCTCCTCGAGCTGCTTCAGAACAAGTCTCTTCATCAAACCCGCACCCCTCGCTCCTCAACCATTCCAGCAACTCAATGCGACCTCCTGCAGCAGCTCCTGCAGCTGCTATCACTCCACGATACTTGTGATTGAGAGTCAAAGGGATCCCTTGACTCACCAACCACTCCATCACCTTCTTGCTGCCCTGGAAAGCGGCGAGGTGCAGCAGGTCAGAGTCGTACACGTGGTCGTAGTACTCGCCATATTTCCAGCTATGCCGTGCTCCCTTCCTCCTTTTGAACGACCGAAGCACCCACTGGAACCAACCCAAAGTGAAGCAAGGCATCTGCTCGAACCTCTTGTCGTCCGTCAGGTCCGTCTTCAGAGCAACCTTCTTCTTCGGATCAGGGTTCGCCATTGTCACCGCCTCGAGGAACGTCCTGCAGGTCAACCCGAAAGCGACCCGGTCGTAGTCGGCCACATGCTTGCCAATGACGCTCCACAGTACCCCCGGCAGCACTTCCAGTGCATCCCTGCCCTCCCTCCTCTGCCTCTTGCTCTCCATCGTCTCCTCCATCTTCACTTCCGTGCTCCTCAGACGATCCTCACCAATGGGTCGTTCTTGTCGCGCGAGGGCTCGCTCGAAAGAGCAAGAGACACTCCTTCCGCCCCTCTATCACTCGAAAACCCTCCGGCACAAAATCCCGCCCTCGTCGTCGCCTCCCCTCCTCGGTGATCTACGCCTTGATCGTCCTTTCGTTTCCTCTCTCTCTCGTTTCGTGTCGTCGCCAGATCCTCACCACTGGGTCGTTTCTTTCGCGCGAGAGCTCGTTCGAAAGAGCACGAGACGACGCTTCCGCCTGTTCGGTCCTCCTTCTCTCTCTTTTCCTCCTCCGCGCGCTCCCGTCCTCTCCGTTTCTCTCGTTCTCCTCCCCCTTGTGTTCGCCCTCGTGGCCTCGGGCCGTTATGATGGTTCAGCGGAAGGGAGAAAATGAAGAGAAAGAAACAAAGAGAGGAGGAGAGGAGGAACCAGGAAGGAAAGCGAAGGTCGATGACAGGAAGAGATTGTTCTTGGTTAAGAATTGGCATTGATCCATTCGATGACGCGCTGGTGATTGCGGTGCTTCGCCACAATTCTGCACCTGTTTGGGATCCAAGGGCAAGGCGGGTCCTGGCTTCGCAGCCACTGCAGCACCTGCTTGCTGCCCTGGAAAGCGGCGAGGTGCATCAGGTCGGTGTCGCACGGCTGTTTTGAATCTCTTCGTTTGCGCGGCCCCTCCCTCCTCCCGAACGATCGAAACACCCACTGGAACAACACATGGACGCATCGACGACGATGATGATGACGATGATGCACGGAAAGCAAAGATCGGGTTGCGGCTCACATCAAAAGGCGATCTACAGGGTGGTTAGAAGAATTCTCCTCGATTCTCGTTCGACGACGGCAAAGACGGTCCGAATCTTCGATCGCCGTGATCCTTGATCCATCCTTCCCCACTAAGAGAGAGAGGTCCAATTGTTCTGCAATGCCTTTTCGCGAGTCCATTCGTCCCAGTCACAAGGCGGGTCCTGGCTCCGAAGCCACTTGAGGACGTCAAGGTGGCCATGCTGCGCTGCCCCTCTACAAGTCCTGGCGCTCCAATCACAAGGCGGGTCCTGGCTTCGAAGCCACTGCAGAACGTCAAGGTGACCCTTTTCAGCTGCCTTGGTGCAAGTCCACTCGTTCCAATCACAAGGCGGGTCCTGGCTTCGAAGCCACTTGAGCACGTCAAGGTTGCCTCCCCGAGCTGCCTCCTCGCAAGTGAAAGCGCCCCAAGGGCAAGGTATGTCCTGGCTTCGAACCCACTGCAGAACGTGGAGGTGACCTACCCGAGCTGCACTGGAGCACGTCACCTCGTCCCAAGGGCAAGGCGGGTCCTGGCTTCGAGCCCACTTGAGCACGTCCAGGTGGCCTCCCTCGGCCGCACCGTAACAAGTCCACTCGCTGCCGGGACAAGGCGGATTCTGGCTTCGCAGCCACTGCAGCATGTGAAGATGGCCTGCTCCAGCTGCCCAAAACCAAGTCAACCCGTCCCAACGCGGCTCCTGACTGCGAAGCCACTGCAGGACGCCAAGGTGACCACGCTGAGCCGCCGCTTTCCAGACACCGTTGCTCCAAGGGCATGGCGGGTCCTGGCTCCGAGCCCACTGCAGAACATCAAGGCGACCCCCCTCAGCTGCACCACAACAAGTACTCGCGCCCCAGGGACAAGGCGGATGCTGGCTTCGAGCCCACTGCAGCATGTCAAGGTGACCTCCTCGAGCTGCCCATCCACAAGTCATTTCGTCCCAAGGGCAAGGCGGGTCCTGGCTCCGAGCCCACTGCAGAACATCAAGGCGACCCCCCTCAGCTGCACCACAACAAGTACTCGCGCCCCAGGGACAAGGCGGATGCTGGCTCCGAGCCCACTGCAGCATGCCAAGGCGACCTCCAAAAGCTGCCCATCCACAAGTCATTTCGTCCCAAGGGCAAGGCGGGTCCTGGCTTCGAAGCCACTGCAGAACATCAAGGTGACCTCCTTTAGCTGCAAAACGACAAGCATCCTCGTCCCAATCACAAGGTGGACGCTGACTTCGAAGCCACTTCAGAACGTCAATGTGACCGAATCGAGCTGCAGCATCACAAGTATCCTTGCTCCAAGGGCAAGGGGGATCCCGACTTCGCAGCCACTGCAGAATGTCAAGGCGACCGCTCATAGCTGCACCAACACAAGTCTCCCGGTCCCAAGGGCAAGGCGGGTCTTGGCTCCGAGCCCACTTCAGAACGTGAAGGTGGCCTCCTTTAGCTGCCCAAGCACAAATGCCCTCGCTCCACGGGCAAGGCGGGTCCTGGCTTCGAGCCCACTTCAGAACGTCAAGGTGACCTCCCAAAGCTGCTGCTTTACAAGTCTCGTCGTCCCAAGGGCAAGGTGGATCCTGGCTTCGAAGCCACTGCAAGATGCCAAGGTGACCACGCTGAGCTGCCGCTCTGCAAGCCATCGCGTTCCAAGGGCAAGGTGGATCCTGACTGCGAGCCCACTGCAGAACATCAAGTCGACCTGTCAGAGCTAGAATAGAACAAGTAAGCTCTTCCCAAGGACAAGGAGGATCCCTTCTTCGCAGCCACTTCATCACCTCCTTGCTGCCCTGGGCAGCGGCGAGGTACATCAGGTCACCGTCGTACAAGTGGTCCAAGTACTTTCCATATCTCCGAACAGTCGCTGCTCCCTCCCTCCGTTCGAACGACTGGTACACCCACTGGAACCAACCAGGAGTGAAGCAAGGCGTCTGCTTGTCCACCACTGCGTTGTCAGTCAGGTCCGTCCTCAGAGCACCCCCCGGTTTCACCGCCTTGAGGAACGCCCTGCACGTCAACCCAAAAGCGAGGCGGTCGTAGGGATCCAAATGACTTGCGACCACGGACCACCAAGCCTCTGAAACCATTTCCACTTTTCCTCCCTTTCCCTCGACACCTCCATGGCAATCCGCTGAAGCCATCGGCTCCTTGGCCTTGGCCTTGGCCTTGGGACCATTCTCATTGCCAGGAGCGGAGGGGCGGGAGAGGGAAGAGGAAGAGGAAGAGGAGAGGAGTTTGGTTTTGGTTTTGGTGGTGTGTGGTGTGTGGTGATGGGGGGGGAGGGGGAGCACAAGAGGGACCAGGCGGTGGAGGCATTCAATGAATTGAAGCTACTGGGGTCGGGGCAGGAGAAGGCGACCAAGGTGAAGGAGTTGACGGAGCTCCTGATCCGTGTGCCTGCTGCGAGGGGGTTGCTGCCGGAGTTCGTGCCTGAGTTGTGCGACCTTCAGGTGGAGACGAATGCGGTGGTAAGGAAGGAGCTCGCGGCGTTTCTCGAGGCGCTGGGCGGCCTGCCGACCGACGTCCTAGCGAGCACGGGGGCGGCGGCGTACCTTCCCAAGGCGGTGGAGACCCTTGGGGCGCTGAGCCGCGACGAGAGCGAGAAGGTCGGCAAGCGGGCTCTCATGGCAGGGATCTCGCTCTTCACGGGGATCTACAAGGCCTGCGTGAGAGAGCACGACGCTTCCCAGCTCGGGGCGTGCTGGTCCGCCCTGTCTGACCTGAGGTCGAGCGCCGCGGGGACGCT